TGAGGGTGGGGAGGTGGGAGTGGGGGGGTAGGTAGAGGCACATCCGTAGAGAAGCAGGAGGAGGGATGAAGGGATAGGGGGTTCCTGGGGGGGGGGGATAGGGTAAAGGGATAACATATGAAATGTAAATAAAACATCCAATTTTTTTTAAAAAAAGATGGAACTGGCCAGGCACAGAAGGAAACTGCTAGGATAAATTAACTTGATTCTCGGCCACAACCTCTTCACTACAGACTGTAATACTGGGAACACGTTTTTAATAAAAGGCTCTATGACATTGTCCTGACCATCAGCTAGACTTTCTGCAAGGTTGAACTTTAAGATGGGATTGACACTTTCCCCTCAGTTCTGACCCCAGCTTGCTTCACGTTGTTCAGGTTGAACTTGGGGGCTTTGGGCAGTGATGATCTTTTGTTGTTTTTGAGGCAGAGTCTCACAGTAGCCCACACTGGCCTCATGCTGAGGAATCCTGACCTTCCTGTTTACCTACCAGCCCTAGGATTACCACCATATGTCACTATGCCTGGTGGCAGTATGCTTTTGTTTTTGTTTTGTCTTCTCATTACCCTTTTTCTTCACCCTTAAGTTATTCGTTCAGTAAATTTACATTGAAACCTGTATGAAGAGCACAAATTTCAGTCAAAGGAAAATTGCTCTGAAAACATTACACTCCAGCTTGAGTGACAGATGTGTAAATATGTAACTGCTGGTATTAAAGGTCTGTACCACCACTACCTGGCTAAACACCTTCACTTTTAAAAAGCACATTCAATTTGCTTCCAGTTGTGTACATTTCAGTCTTTATGGAAGCAGCTATTTCTTAAGCAAGTATTTGAGTTCCAGCTGTGCACCTCTTTTTATCTATCTGATGGGATGTAACAGTGACTAGAATCTAGAAGATAGTGAAACAGGCAAAGCCCAGAGAAGAGGGGAACAGCCTCTCCCTTCTCACTTAACTTCAAAAGGAAAGCTGACAAAATGAAATACATATACAGGATTAAAGATTGATCTGTTCCTGATGATATCTCAGAACATATGTCTTATACAGCTATGTACAGCAGAAAATAACCATGTAGAATAGTGTGTTATATTCATACATATAGTTTATTTTGGACATAGATACATGTTTTATTATGTTCATATTAATATAGATTTTACTAAAGTTGGCTTATTTAGGTATTAAATTTGATGTATCTAGAGATAAAGAAAAACAGGAGAGAAATCCAGGAATCAAGAGGAATTTCTCCATAGAGTTCTGAGGTTTTAGCTTTTGGTTATATTTTTCTACTATCCTGGTTATGTTTTTGAGGAAGAAATCCAAGTAAAATCTGCTATGATCAGATTTTATAACAATACTTATTTAGTGAATTTTCTGTTTCAACCTCTGGGCACCGTGCTTCTGGATACTGTCAGTTCCAGGCTGTCTGTCTTTCCATCTCAGAGGAATGAGTCACTAGGAGAGGTGGTTATAAATAAAAAGAAATCAAATATTTCTACCTCAGTTCATTTACTGGACCATTTCTTCATGCAAAGAGGGACTGGGGTAGCCCCGAGTCCTGCCAGTTCTCAGCACTGTCAAAGAAGGGAACAATTTATCTTAGTTCTTTTTTTTTTTTTTTAATTCTCTGGGTTTAGTTTAATTTTTTTCCATTACTCAGTGCTCAGCTTGAATACAGTTGTTATTTTTATCTATGTATCTTATTTAATTTAGTCTCTTAGCCTGTACAGCTGCTTCTTTCTGTTATATAACTATTGTATTTTTTCCCCCTGTAGTTTCTCTTCCTTCTTAAAAAATAAATTTTCCCTAGGAATAAGACTGTCAGCTATTGCCATTGTGATTTAGTATGATATCCAATACTAAAATTTATTATATTTCAGAATTAATCATTTTCTCACTTTTTTTTCTCCTTAAAAAAACACCTAAAGACTTGGACAGCAAGGTGGCTCGGTGGGTAAAAGGAGCTTGCTGCCAAGTCTGACAGCGTGAATTCAATCCCTAAGACCCACAGAATGGAAGAAAAAACAACTCCCATACGTTGCAGCAAGC